CTTCTTTTTCTTCTATTAAAAAAACATTTCATAATAATGGTGTGGAGAGGATGGCTATAAGGGGAGAAGGGAGGCCATCAATAAAAAAAGAAAAAAAGATAAATCGAGTCCTCTGTCGTGAAAACTTTCGTTTTACGTTTCTGAAAACCTAAAATATATCAAAATGCCAGTTTACTTATGTAAAGTCCTGCAACTCATTAAAGTTTTGAATGTTTAAAATTTGAAATGTCAAAACTATATTACTCAAAGGAGGGTGATTTTTTTCCCACTCTTCTTGCCAAAATCCATAGTTGCATAAGTCAAGTGTTACAATGTGTCAAACCCAGAACTGCAGACTTACGGAGCCCGCGAGGGGACATGGGAGATTTTTTTTCTTTTTCGTTCCCACGCAAAAGTCGCTAAACACTGTTGTGCCTGCTGGTTTATTAACAAACTCACATGTTCACCGTTAGTGAGTTAGCCTGCTGCTTTAATTCAGCTTCAGAATGAATATATCACAGCCACGCATGGAAGTATGTCACACGCCCATATTTTTAACACAGTGCAGCCACACAACATCAATGTCAATTTCACGAACTTGTGGCGACACATCCTGTTTTGGTAACCGGATATTTCAAAAATAAAAGTCTGATTTAATTCAGTTCATATACAAATCAAACTTTTACGTGGGAATGCAAAACAATACTGCGAGGTAACACAAAAGTATTGCGAGGGAACGCAAAAGTATTGCGAGAGAACGCAAAGGTATTGTGAGAGAACGCAAAGGTATTGTGAGAGAACGCAAAAGTATTGTGAGAGAACGCAAAAGTATTGCGAGAGAACGCAAAAGTATTGCGAGAGAACGCAAAAGTATTGCGAGAGAACGCAAAAGTATTGCGAGAGAACGCAAAAGTATTGCGAGGGAACGCAAAAGTATTGCGAGGGAACGCAAAAGTATTGCGAGGGAACGCAAAAGTATTGCGAGGTAACGCAAAAGTATTGCGAGGTAACGCAAAAGTATTGCGAGGGAACGCAAAAGTATTGCGAGGGAACGCAAAAGTATCGCGAGGGAACGCAAAGGTATTGCGTGGAAACACAAAAGAAAAAAATCCCCCCGTGTCCACTCGCGGGCTCTGTAGCAGAGTAACACAGGAGTCTGAATAAAAACCAAAAGGTTTAATAAAACAGAAAACAAAAGGCTGGTGTGGCAGCAGCTAACATAAACTGAAAAACAATCACAAGGAGACAGAATGAGATGCAGTCATGGCACAAAGCAAAGAATGCTCCACTGAAGGTGAAGCTGAGGGACTGTCAGGACTGTTAAGATGAGGTACTGCAGCTGTGACTATGGAAAAATACTGACTGAGGGGAAAAAGGTTACATAATGCAATGTACTAATACCGTAAATCATAGCACAATGGTCCTACTGTCACACACTTTAATGTATTTTCTGTACAGTTTTTTCTGAATCTGCAGAAAGAATTTTTTTTTTTTTTTTTTTTTTTTTGATGGCCTCCCTTCTCCCCTTATAGCCATCCCCTCCACACCATTATGTTTTTTTTGTTTTGTTTTTTTTTTGTTTTTTTGTTTTTTGTTTTTTTGTGAAGAGAAAGTAGAGAGAGAGAAAAACAGAGAGAGAAGTAATTAGAAAGATAGAAAGACTGAAATAGCGATTAGGATTATATTAAATATACACCAACAAAACACAGGACCACACAACCAACATCTGTCCGCTCACCTGAAAAATAAATGGATAAATACATAGAAGGCATATAAAAAAAATACACATTCCCATACATATATAAAGATATGCATACATACATGCCTACATTCATAAATATTGTCTGTATATACACATAGACATATATACACACTCAGTGACCTGTCAGAACCCCCCCGGATCAGAGCACCTGTTTGTGAGCAGTTGTGAACATGCGTGTACATACAAGATTTCTCCAATGGAACACTCAATAGTGACTGTGGAGGACCGAGACCCAACCCCCAAGTCACGAGGCAGACATTTTTTTTCTGTACAGTTTTTTTCTGAATCTGCAGAAAGAATTGTGAATCATGATGAATTA